CGGGGAAAAAAAAAAGTGGGCGATGGAGACCGTTACTAGAGTTAGATTTGACCGTACAGTACTATAGCCTGGTGCTTAATTCTTGCAAAAAGAAGACGTGGAGCGCGAGACAGGAGAGACAGGGGAAAGCGCGCGCTCTACGTCCGCTTCGTGCTCGCCTGAAAAAGGCGAAAAATAGCGTCTATTCTGCCGGCTAGATTAAAGCTCATTACCTCTGCTTCCTTCTGACGTCGTATATCACTTCGAGATCGAGTCGTTTTCTTTGGAGGGAAAGATAAACAAACAATTTAGTGTGAAGACAAACACCTCTGGATATTTAATATTTAGTTCAGCGCTATCCTATGTATATGAAATCATGTACCCTCTTTTCTAATCACTTCAATGTAAATGTGTTATAATAAAGCATTTACTAATAAATAATAATAAAATCTCTGGATATAGTTCCCTCTCGTAGAAGACCCCACACTTTTACCCACATTATTAAGTTCAGAAAAACTGTTTGTGTTTGACCGTCCTTTGTGCGAAGGACACTACTACATCGAAGGTTGTTTGAGCGCGGCACAACTTTTCTTTGTCTTAGTTATTGATGCTGATTTTTCTTTTGTTCACGTTTTCTCTCGAAAGTTCTTCTGTTTCTTTCTTTTCTTTCATTATGTCACTTCTTGATCCAAAAATAATAACAAAAACAACAACTGCAACAACATCTACCAGGATGAAAATAAAAAAAAATAAAAAAAAATCGATTTCCTCCGCCCTCCCCTCCCGCCCGACAATCCTCCTCCGCCCCCGGTGGGCAAAAAGGTAAAAAAAGTCTGGTTACCTTACCTTAGAGTCTGGTGGTTTAGGAATCTTAACACTTGCATCCCTGTGTAACAAAGTAGAAAAACAGAAAGTTCAGTCTCAAATATTTCCTCAACGTTACAAGGCCAATTGTGAAAAGGGAATTTGTACGAAGTTAAGGAAGGAACTACCATGCGCTTGTCTGTCGCGTGGTTAGTTTGTTTACGCCCCGTACGAGGACAGAAAAGTCACGCGAATGACTTCGTAAACGCTAAAAGCCATGCAAGAGAGAATTGAAACCTCTGCTCGCAGGGTAGGACGGAACTGCGTTTTACGCCAAAATAACAGTATACATAACAATTTGAAAACATTTGATGTTTTGTTACCTTATTTTCCCCATCATCTCAAGCTGTTTCTGCTTCATCTGTCGCGACTAAAAAAATAACAAAAACAAATAAAGTATTTTAAAACGAATCTAACTTTAACTGACCAAAATTAACAATGCCAGCTTACAGGAGTGGATTAATGCTTGCGCGCGTTGGATGCATGCAGTTTATAGCTTTCCTTTTGTTTGCAGTTATCACAAAAGAGGACTACCGTATTTATTCGATTAACCGCCCTGGGCGCTTATTAAATTTTTGGACCTTGAGAGTGGGCGCTTATTCGAGGTGGGCGCTTATTCGAGGCTGGGCGCTTATTAAATTTTCACCATTTTCAGCAAGTGAAGTATGTGTATTTTGCAACAAAACAATAAATGCTAATAACAAAACGCGAAGAACTAACAAAGCAAGGTTTCTAAGAAAACTCCGTCCTCGTGCAAGTCATTAAATTTATTAACTCATTTATTCTTTTCCTGTTTTTAGGATGGGCGCTTATTCGAGGTGGGCGCTAATTCAAGGTTGGGCGCTTATTCGAATAAATACGGTAATTCCAGCGATAAAGCTGGCTTTATATCATGCACTTTTCAGTATCTACTTCCTCGTGTACATTAATTCTATTTATTCTTTTCCCTGTTTCAACTAATCAGCTCCTTGAGATGGAGGCCAGTAAATTTGCGAAACTTTTAAGCTGCTCGAGTTTTTTGGCGCACAAACTCGAACTGATAACCCACTTGAGAGCACACCTATTTCAGCTTAACTAGATTTCTCAATATCCCCAGTCAGTTTCCTGGTAAAAAAACCCTTTTCTAGACCATACTACTTGGCTTCTCCATCCTGTCTTACAACGTAACAAGATACAATATCCAAGGCAGGACACTCAGCAGTACCTTATCTAAGCCTTGTTGTCTTTGACCTTGCAGATACTTCCTCATTCTTTCCTCTTCATGAAACCTAAGAAAGTGGGAAGGGTTCTTAAAAAAGGTACTGAAGGTCCTTAATTTACTTCGGTTACTCGTAACATTACTGACGAAAATGAGGCGGGAAAAGAGCGCTCCTGAGAGCTTGCTCGCAGGCTACCGAAGGGTGCGGCTCATTTACCCTCTCCCTCCATCAAAGCTCAGTTTTATGGGTATTTAAAGCAACTTAAAGCTACAGGGAAAGGAGTGAAGTCAAAACAAGGATTTGAGGCCGCGCACCAACCAATGCTCCGCTTCAAATTGTAAATCCCGTACAGAACCAATGTCATTGTGAAGAAAAGAGGGCTAATTCCTAACGAAACTAGAGCGCTGTATCAAATGACCCATAAACGTAAAAAATCAACTCGTAAACTCTCTCAATCGATAGACTGCAAAACAGCCCGTATTTTTGCCTAGGGTAAGAACGCGCACGCGAGCGGTTAAACGAAAGGTCTAAAGTGGGAGTGAAAAAGGAGAGTGACCACACACGTCCACACGCGCTTCGCGCGAAAAAATCACGTGACGCCGGCGTTTCGCGCCTTGCAAAAACGATCGTTTTGCAGTCTAGTCAACCGACAGAAAGCGTTTAAAAACCATGGGCTCCCTTACAAGGACTCGCATACAAGGACGGAATAACAGAGTTCTTACACATCCAACAGTAAAAAACTAAATGAGCTACTTTGTTGAATGATGTGGAATTGTAGGGGAATAATCAACATCTGAGCAAGACCGATGAAACTGAATTAACGTAAAGATGTCTGGCAGAGCACGGCATCATTTTCTCAAAAAGCAGAACAAAGATAACAGCTCTGTGGCAACAAAGGCTACATAGCGGGCAGCATGTAAGTAAGGGATTCATAAATATTGGATGGTGCAAACTACTATTTGTTTAGCTATTCGCTACACATTTCCAGTAAGTGAAGTGACAAATCTGACAAGCGTAAGGCATACTTTGCTTTAAAAGCTTTCTCCTCCTGTTCTTTTTGCTTGGCTTGATATCTTTGAACAAGCTGTTCAAAATTCAGATCCACCTGGCGTTTGGTCAGCTGCTTCAGTCTCTGTGATAGACAATGACAGTGAAGCTTATAAGTCCTTGATTGTTGATAATGAAGGCGTTTAACCCCTTTAATACACAAAAAGGACACGCAAAGACATTCAAGCAAAATCGTTCGTAAAATACTGAAACACAAATAGCAACAAGCGAAAGTAGCATTACAGATTGAGGTTTCATGTCATTTAAATGGTTAAATACAGACTCGAAATATATGTTTTCTTTATTGACTCGTGGATCAAAACGACAGACAACGTAATTGTCCACACACACAGACTGTCGTGAACGGTCTTCAATTGAATGCTAAAAGTTTATTTTCCTAATTTTTTTTCTCCTTCGCTTTTTACACAATGGGATATTTTAAAAACTCTTGCACCGTTCTCTGGGACCAGGGTAACCTCTTAACCAATAAGAAGCAAATCCAAAACTCGCTGCCCGCGGCTTTTTTCCCCGCGCTTTTCACTTCACTTAATTTAAAAAATAGTGTCTCCGTTTCCAATTTTGATTGGTTCATTTAATTGTTTGCGCTTGTTATAATTGGCCAGGTTGGCCAGAACAATGATTTGGTTGACTTAACAGTACCCCATTGAGAGTACTGTGGTATGCGATGTACAGTTAGGTACACCACTTGAAAGTCAGTAGTAACTTCCATTTTGTTTGGGACACGAGGGGAAAAGGATGCCGTTCTTTTTTCCCCTTTTCTCCGACCGCCGACTTTCGCGCTTTCCCTGAAAAATAAACCTGACAGCATGTTAGAACTCAAGCTGCCTTGAAGTTCAAGATGTAAATGCTTCATTCAGAGGCGGGGCAGTCAGAACAAAAGTAGCACTCCAAGTCTGCGAAGCGAGTTAGCAATTGAGGGACACATGTCTTGTCACAGAGTATGAATTTTAAAGTACGGTGAAATCTCGATTTTCCGAGCCACCCTGGGAAAGGCAAAAATTACAGTGTGCGGTCAGGTCGAGTCAACCCACCAAAACAGCTATTAGGCTGTCAAATTCAGGGACTCCCATCTACATTGTACTTTAATTACCATTAACGTGAAAAGAGAAAAGATACACTTAGTTTAATCCTGACAATTATCTAAGGTCAATGGTGTCATGGTTTTACAACGTCTAAGGCTGGACTTCAGAAAATGCTTCAACACTATTTTCTTAACTGAAGCACAATGTCTACATGGCTTTGATAGAAAACTAACAGCAGTTTTCTGAATTTAGGTTGCAAAGTCGTCTTTATTTGGCATCAGATGCGTGAACAGTTTCGGCTTCAGCATCCTAACAAACATTTCTGCTTCCTTTATTTTTAACACTTATATGTACAAGTATGTAAATTTGTTATTATTTTTTAAGATACAAAAAAACAGAAAGAACCTTTAAATAAAGAGACTTAACAGGTCATTGAATACCAGATTTGAATCAAAATATTTGTAGAGTTAAATAAATTGGCTACTTCCTTACGTACAAAATAATAATATCTTTTAAGTCTCTAAGCAATGCCTTAAAAAGACAATTATTCTACCTTTTAGCCTTTGAAAACTGACTTTTAAGAAGTTGAATTATGTTATCGAGATCATTAACAAAATCCATGACAATCCTTGATGTAATTAATACATCTTTCATGACATGCCTAGCGTACTTTTTGAATTCTTTATCATGTCTGAGTTCGCGGACTTGAGAAACAACAGTCTTCATATCATGGACTACATCAAAGGAGATTTCTTGCAAATCTCTCACAACATCAACAGCCAAGTTACTAATTTGCTCATGGAGTTCTTTGATTGTGACTTCACGCACAAAACTTTCAACAGATGTCTCATCAAGGCTGTCTTGTTTCAGGGGAATTTTCTAAGGTAAACAGACAAAAAACTGAGTTGGTTTAGTGACACTAAAAAGTGACTTGACTATGGGCATTGTGAGAGATGGAGATTTAACATATATAATAAGTAAATTCCAAAGAATTGCTTTCTTGAACATTATTTGCCTAACTTTTTGTTGTTGATTTCATCGACTAAAATTAATATGTTGAAAAATTTAACATTTTAAATTTACTACACACCATGTTAAACAGTTTACAAAATACTGTATTATTGTTATACATTTTCTGCAAAACATTAGCACTGTTCTTTTAATCGCCAACTGCCTTTAAGCTTACTAAGTAAGACAAAGTAAATGTAAACTTTGGTGCTTTTTGCACAATCCTAGTAACCACTTTTTTAATATGTAAAACTATTCTCCAAGATTTAAAAGATTCATCAAGAAATGCATCCAAAAACAATGTAACAAGTGAGGGTTGAATTGATTCTTTGATACAAGACAAAGCATAAAAAAGAGGAAAATAAATTCATGACAGAAAATATTATTGTACGCTTTAGTGTGCCCAGCCTAAAATCCACAGTCAAACTCATCAGTAAGGATGAGCTTGCTTAAAAGTTGGCTGGGAGACAAGACAAATCAGATGCAGCAGGGGGTAGCCATGGCAACACTGTGCCACAAAGATTCGCAGACAAAGCAAGGCAAGTGCTCCACAACAAACAGCAAATGAAGCAAATGCAATAAGATCACATGACACACAAAGGACCCTTGCAACCACCCGCAGGTCACTTACACCATAGGAAGAGATTGCTGGCTTCATTGGTTGAGATTAACCTCAGTTGCCTAAATTTCACTTAACCACATCTAAGTTTTTTGCACTGACCTCTTTATAAAGACCACTCTCAATGCTTTCAAGCTTCACTGGACCACTTGGTCTCATAGTTTCCATGGCAACTCCAGTCAATCCCGCTTTCTGTTGTGAGAAGAAAAAAATACTATTAACCAATCAGTAAGGAATCGGCTATTTCCAAGTTCCAAAAACTCTTACTTTCAAAACGAGGCTCAGTGGAAAACCTTTCTTATGAAAAAGAGTTTTATTTGCACAAGAAAAAAAGAAATAATTTTCATATCAGTGGCTTCATACTTAGCCTCGCTTTGAAACAGAGGCATGCGGCAACTCAGAAAAGGCCTATCACAATAATTAATTCACAAAATTGATATGTGCACAGCTAGTAATGCTATTCTAAGAAGCCTTGCTTTCATTCCATTCAATGTACTCTTTCAGCTCTCTATCACCATCTTTATACAATGTTACTTACAGACTTTTTCCCTAGTGATATGAACAGCTGGTACATAAGTCTTGTGATAGCACTGTGATTCTCATTCATTTATAGAGGTGTCCATTTTACGAAAGCCTACAAAACAGAACAAGATAATGTCTGTCTTACAAAATGATAACTTTATGTATACAGCCAGTCACCACTGATGGACAAACTTTCGACTTTTTGCAATATAGTTTTGTCTGTTTTTTGCAACAAATACAATTTACATTAATAATTATTTGTAAACCATTTAAATCAAAAAAAAAGAATTATAGTGCTCAGAAAACAGGAAGAGGGTGAATTACAATCAAAAACAGCCATCATAGGACCTGAGACATTTGTGTATCCCTTTAGCCCTGGAACTTGGTTTAATTTTATTTTCTTTTGTTTTATTATTGGTGTCTGTTGTGCATTCCAAATATTCAAAATGAAAAATTTGTGATGCTTCTAGTTTGCAAACCCTGCATAGCATAGTTTATCCTATCAGTTCGTGTATAACTAATCTAATGTAATGCATGTCATTCTTCACCATACTATGTGATCTTACTCATCACAAGGTTTCCCTAGATACTTAGTCTAAATGGCAGAGGCACCTAAAAAATGATTTCCAAAAGAGAATTGGCTTGACACCTGTCGGGAATCAGTCAATGTAGTAAAGCGAGAAAAAAGATTTTAATGATTGACTGATCAACAAATATTACTCTTATTTTTAGATTTTGGCTGGCATTATCAATAACTTTTACACACAAAAAAAAACGAAATGCTGAAATGAAAAAAAAACCATTAACTTACCACATTGGTATCATAAGGTACTTCCAGCAGTTTTAAGGTGGGTTCCAGTCGTGTGAAATTATGAAGCTTGGAATCAGAAGTGCTACAAAAAATTTCACCACATTAGTCTAGCCTGTGTGGCAGGCGTAATCTAAACCATGGTTAATTAATGTCTGTGAAGCAGTGTCGAAATCCTTGTCAAGGGCTCCCAACAGGCTCAACAAATTACTGAATGCGTTTCAAATTTCCCTTAGACCTGATGGGCAAATTAGCAGGCCAATCCTTACACACACTCAAATCCTGGTACACAGGTGGGGCACAGTGACAGAATAAGATTTGTTCTTTTTCGAAAATGGACCTAACTAGAAGTTTTGTTCCACCTGTCGTGCAGGTTACATTAGTCATGTATGCGAATAAGAACTCTTAACCATTGATACAGTAGTGATGGAAATAATATAATTTTACATTTGCCAGTGTAATGATGCACCATTTTTTTATACTTACGTATTCTGAGAGAACATTGAAAAGTCCTCTTGTAAGCCATGTCTGTTCAGTAGCTCTCCAAGCAAGTATCCGGTAGAGAACTCTTTAGCAATGTTTGTTGGATCTAAAAGAAGAGAAACGCTCCATGTAGGTCTCTTTTTATTGCTAAGCAACTTATCACAGTTTTTGACGCAAACTTAAGAGGGAGGCAAGCAGGCGTGAAATAAAAACGTTGGTATGGGAAATATAGAATAAGCTTATGTCAAAAGAAATAAGCTAATTCAAAAGGGTAGCCTTGACATTTGGAATGATCAGCTGGATTGATTATAAGTCAAGATATTTCCATTCACAACTGGCTTTATCTTTTAAACTCCGATTGCAATAACTTTCGATAAATGAACAAAAATACCTGGATTTAGGGATGGGTGAAAAATAAAATAACAAAATGAAGCTCACCATGGGCGAAGTCAATTTACTTTCGTATATACACTTTATAGCAACAGAACAAGGATCTTACCTATAATTCTACTCAGCCTAACATCTTCGTTAAGCCACCGACACAGTATGTCGGTCATTTTGCAAAGTAAAAGCGCCCGAAAGGACGTGCAATGTTGCTTTGCTCCCTGTTACATCAAAATGTCCGCCATTTTCTCGGTAAACAGCGAGCAGAGCGGTTACCAAGGGAACAGTACCAGTTTTTCCACACTGATTCCCAGGTTCCTTGCAAAAATCACAGGTCACCCAAGCTCTTTACCAAATCACTAACCTGGCGGCCGAAACGTAGCCTGAGTATCAGGCGTTTCTGGGGAAAAGGGGGAAGATGGAAGCGAAAAAGGGAGAGAGCTTTCTCTTCTCCCCCTACCCCCTCCCCCATCTAAAATCTCCTCTCCCCTAGCCCCTTAGGAAGGCCTGATACTTAGGCTAGCCGAAACGTGACCTTTAAGTAAGTCAAAAAGCCGGTTTTGCATTACACTGCCAACCACTGTTACAGTGGGTAAAGTCCCGGGTCAAAAGGTTAAATTACACCTTTTGCCATTGCCTAGCAGTCTGGCTGTTAGTCTGCTACACAGCCGTTTTTAGTGTCGTCACGCAACGCTCCGTTGCGTGACGACACTAAAAACGGCTGTGTAGCAGACTATCTGGCTGTCTGTGCTATTCACTCCATAATACGGTCGTCAATTGGCGACGAAGCGAGCGGCGGGCATTTACGGACCTTTACGCTAATCTGCTTATCTTCTCTTGGAGAAATTTTGAAATCAAAAGTGCCATTTGGGAAATCAAACGCGACAAATTTTGGAAATCAAAAGCATCATTTGAGAAATCCGCAAACGACCTCATTTTGAAAATCAAACATTTTCTGAAAGAATCAGACCCCGGGAATCAGGCGGACAAATTTTAGAAATCAAAAATGCATTTAAGAAATCGAACGAGACAAATTTTTGAAATCAAACATTAGCTGGATCAAAAGGAAACACTATTCACACTGACTAAAAACAAACAGTATTTTTCGTTTTAATCAATCGTGTTATTGAGAAAATATCAACATCAAAGAAAAAAAAGACAAGAATCAAAATAAGTAAATTTTATTAGTGATGTAATCCCAATGGTTACGCAAATTTTGAAACGTTGAACAAAGGCTATATGAAAGTGGTGAATGTGTCCGCTTTGACTCGTCGTTTACTGACAAATCTTTCTGACTTCATAAGATGTCTAAAAGGCAACATACCAAATTTCCGGAGATACACAGTGGTCTGTAATTCAAAAAGATCTTATTAGTGCTCCCAATAATTTTTCTGCGTCGAGAATGGAAGGACAACGTTAACTGGGAGGTCTGACCTTACCAGCCGTCTGTGCACATGTACTTTTAAATTAACCTCTTTTTATAGTGTTAATTTTTGATGATAAAAAAAAACTTAAAAAATCGAGCACTAAACAAAATTTGTTCATAGATCCTTGTCTTTAAAAAATCTTTAAAAAGGCAATAAAACAGTGTCCAATATAATATGTAACGCGCTCAGAAGGAAATTTTGCATTTAGATCACGGTTCCTATGTGGTGATCCGCAAAGCCGTCTTTCACGTGTTTCTTCGTGACACTGGTCATCAAAAGAAGTAATCCATTGCACAAGTTATGTACTGACGACCAACAAGAGTTAAGTGCCCTCGGCCTCAGCTCGAGATATTTCGCATTTTTGTAATTTTCGAGGAAATGACGTCATATTCAAGCAGCAATGCCTGCCGATAGACTGAATCACGTCTGGCCTGCGTAGCGTGGCGGTTTTGGTTGGGCGCGCTAAGTAATGAAGGCGGGCGAGAGCAGAGAAACCGCGAGGAGATTGGGGCGGAAGCAACTTTTTCTCGCGGCTTCGCGCGCGAATTTCGCGGCTACACCGCTCCTGCGCCCGGCTCGACAAAACCGCCATGCTACGCAGGCTAAATCACGTCAACCGTCATCAAGGAAGTAAATTTTTTGCCGTCAACAGGAGCCCATCATCCTGCAGTCAACTATTAGAGCAGCTCCCCCCTCGCAGATAATGAGCTGCTCGCAGCTAAAGAAATGGTATCCTGTTATCTGCTTTTTTTATTTGTTTGTTTTGTTTTGCTTTGTTTTTCTCTTTTTCGCACACTGAAACATCTCATCATGTTGTAATTTTATGTATGTGACAAAGTATGAATGTCAAAGCAACAAAGCAGCACACACGCATCGATGTACATCCAGCCACGCGGTTTTTTGCGCTTAATAAAGAATGCGGAACCTTCATAATACCATACTCTTTATTTCGGGAAAACTTTTGAGGGTTTTTTTAAAACACTTTTTTTACCGCCGTGACGTCATGTCCGTCATATATCCGTTTGATCTTCAATTTGGTTGGAAGTCATCATGTTTTTCGAACGCAGCAGGTTTTTCCGGGACAATGATATGTCCGCGTTAGTACTTATTTTGCGAAAAGAACAGTACTGTATGTTCGTACTGTACATACGTATGTTCGTAGGGGACAGACTAAACATAATTGTTACTTCTGTAAATACATACCCTCCAAAAGCAGTTATTTGATATTACTGCATAGTTGATCACGGGTATCAAAAATATTTGAGTGGGTTGCATGTTATCAAGAGAAGTCAGTCCTGTTTGTTGCTGTTGTTGTTGTTGTTTTTTCTGCCGGCGTTCCTCTGTTAACTTCTGCTGGGTCGAATTCAGGTTCAAACTGCGTGATTGGGCTTGCTCGAAATTTGCCATAATTCCCTTTCATAGCACATTTCAGTACATTCCTTTTGCCTACAATTTGATAATTGGACGCTGTAAAACGGCAAGTCAAAATCAGCTGGAAAGAGTAAGGAACGGGATTAAAATTGGTTGTATGGCGATTTTGTCAGGACCCTGATTCTAAAGTATGGCAAAACCAGTCATCTATTTCAACCAGGAACTGCTCCTGATTTTAATACAAGAGCCTACTGTGAAAACTCTCGGAGAATCCGGCGAAAGAGACACTCAGCTCAAGCAAAACTTTCCGTAGCCTAGCCCGCGAACCGCAGACCTATTTCCTTCCGTTCCTCGCTTCTCTCCCTTGGAAAAAACCGGATGCTCTCCAAGGCTAAATTTCCCGTCATGCGTCATCACAAAAAAAATATCACGTGAAAAACATGCATGCACGCGTTTCGTGAGATCATACGAATTTATCTGTTTTTTATCGATCGAAGCAACTATTTCTCCTCACGTGAAGTTATTTTCATGATAATTCCATGATATTTTAACATTCCTCTTCCAAGAAGTTAGATTATTATTTCGTCTCTGGTTTTCGCACATAGAAGGTACGAGAACTTTGCCCCCGTGAACCCGGTTTTTACGGAAATACTTGTTGAGACATGTGACTAGTGAATGTATAAATTCGTAGACCGATAACCGCGTGGCATAATTCGTTTGCTAGTGCGTGAAGGTAGTTTTACCGGCTTGTTTCTCGTGATCTCAGCCTTATTCCTCGCTTCAAAGCAATTGCCACTATATACCTGAATTACCTTTTGTCTTTTCTTTCAGGTTGACAATTTAACAAGTCCCAGATACTCCTTAAAGATGACTGCCACAGAAAGCAGGCCGCTTCTCGACAAATACATGAGCCTTGATCAAGGCGAGCGAGTTCAAGTCTTGTACGTTTGGATTGATGGAACCGGCGAATCCATGCGGTGTAAAACGAAGACAGTAGATTCCGAACCATCGAGTCATGAAGAACTCCCGATATGGAACTTCGATGGTTCGAGCACATACCAGGCTGAAGGTTGTAACAGCGACGTTTATCTTCGCCCCGTCGCAATGTTTCGGGATCCCTTCAGGCGAGGAAAGAATAAGATCGTGTTGTGCGAGACTCTTAACTTCGATCACAAGCCGGGAGTTTCGAACCATAGGTTATCCTGCATACAAGCCATGGACGAACCAACAGTCAAGGTTAGTTAACGTGGCGTTCGAAACACAAGCTTGAGCTACTTTGAATGTTTAACCTTACTTTTTTCGAATCGCCCTTTTCTTTGCCATTTTAAATTTCGATGACTCAGTATGAAAATGAAGAAAACCTAGATAGAAATGTACATGTCAAAGCTTTATTTAATGAAGTCTGTTTTTTGTAGACTACTACTACTTCTACTAGTAAATCGCTTTTCGGCGGGAAATTAGCCCGCCAAAATAAAATAATTAACAGAGCAGAGAAATAATGTCAAACGCTTGACTAGACGGGTCTTGACCCGAGAAGTGTTCGTGGAATCCATTCTCCAAATAATCTACGCGGTAGCTGATGTGTTTTCACTGACAACGTAGACCTTGAACCCTTTTGATTATTAATTTTGTTATTATGGTAATGCTGTTTTAATTTTTTCGTCTGTCTTTCTCTCTTTCTTTCTTTCACATCATCATTGGTTGTTGGTTGTTTTAGAAACTTAGTGTTTTTTTCGGAGCATTTCTTAGTTGTACATAATATCTATTTCTTATTTTCATGGCCCTTGGGTGGTGGGTAAACTTAATGTTGGGTAGAGTAATGGGCAGTTAGCGAAGATTAATCATAGAGGCAATAAGCTCATAAGGATAAAGGTTAAGGCGCTGCTAAAAATCATAAATATTGTACGTGCTCCATTGTTATCGACTGTGAACTCATCTTGTTTCAAAAGGGCAATGAATCAATTTCGTTCGTAGAGGTTTTATTAGGTGGGTGAAATGTTTGCATTTTCTCAATAAGCTGGGATAGCTTACATGTTTGGCGTTCCTAAGGCGTCTTTGGTCGGTGTGGTTTGACCACTGGTATAAAAATGTTGTCGTGTAAACGGACCAAAGACATCACATTTACATTTACCACTACGTTTATCCTACCAAGCTGCCGCAATTTCCTTTTGTTGTTACCCAAATTCCTCTGATCTAAGCAGCTAAGGTGATATCCTGAACATCATAACCAACAATCCTAGCTAACATTGACTTCCTTATTTCAACTTTTTTTTTATTTCAGTAGAATATTTCAAGCTCTTCATTGAAATCTCACTGAGGACATAAATTCCTATACTAAGGAAACTGTGGTCCAATGAAAACTTTCTTTGTCCCAGTTATGTAGGAACAGGTCCCTGAAAGAACATATTCCATAACAAACAAACAGCTTTTCAGTCTTTTGGCTAATCGTTGTGCCAAGTTGTATTGTAAACATTCAGCTTCGCATGCTTGCCACAACACATTTTTTTCCCATCATAACTCATACTTTCCTTAAAATATGAGGACAAGGTCATTTTTTTAAAGTCAATGGCAAAATGCTGTACTTGAGAAAAAAACAATTATTTCCAAAATTTCGTCAGCATATTTTGTGCACCTGCATAATGTTTCCTGAATTCTTTGGGAAAAAATAAAGCCAGTATGGCATAATTTTACTTTGGGAGTATGTTGGCTGTACTTGATTAAATAAAATTAATGTTTAACATTATTGTTCATCTTAGAGTTCCAAACCTTGGTTTGGTATTGAACAAGAATACACATTGCTTGACAAAGATGGTCATCCTCTTGGCTGGCCAAAAGGTGGGTTCCCTGGGCCACAGGGACCCTACTACTGTGCTGTTGGCACTGGAAATGTGTTTGGACGTGACGTGGTTGAAGCTCATTACCGTGCGTGCCTATATGCGGGTGTGAAAATTGCAGGAACAAATGCAGAAGTTATGCCAGCTCAGGTCAGGAGTGTTGAGTTTTAGATCAATATTTAGCTGCCAACTTTGAATATTCTCAGACATTCAGAGATTAGTCAGTTCTATAGTAAATATTGCAAACTTGTGGTCTTTTAGCATGTATGTACTACAAATTGAGGGTCTGACAGTCATGTAATTTTCTTGAAAATAGGGTGTCTTTTGTGGTTATGGTGGCAGTTAAGGCAATTCGATCCCTCTGGGCTATACAGTGACGTAGACTGGGCTAGAACTTAAATATAGAAACAAGCTACAAATTAAAACTGCAATTATTAATGTATCAACCATCCCTTCTATTAACCCTGTTAGGGTAATATTGTGACAAGGGACATGGCCTTGAAATAGTGACATAAGACTAGTTAAAATGGCGACAAATGACATTAAGATGTGTTAAATATGGACAGGGACATGGCCCACTCAACAAAAATAAGAGGAAACAACCACATTTGAAATTCAGACCAGATACATACCTACCCCCCTCCCTCACCCCCTGCCTAATTAATAGAGCCTCTTCCATTCCTGACCAACTGTGGTTGAAGCTCATGACTTCATGCTAGCACCTTGAGCAAGGATTGTAACAAAGAGGAGCAAAGGTTGTTTGTAGCAGTGTATTTCTGAAGTATAACAAGATAATTCCACAATACGAAAAAGTATTTTTGAAAGCTGTTACGTTGTCATGCTAAACATCCTTTTTGTTTGTTTCCAGTGGGAATACCAAGTGGGACCCTGTGAAGGAATCGACATGGGAGACCAGCTATGGATGTCCAGATTTCTCTTGTATCGTGTCTCTGAAGATTTTGGTTACAAAGTTTCCTTTGACCCCAAACCCATTCCTGGAGACTGGAATGGAGCGGGAGCACACACCAACTACAGGTTAGTTGAATTGTTTTAGTAGCTTTTCTGGTCAAACAGCAATTCTGTGTTTTGTCGGGTCAGTATGTTGTCCCTTTGGTAATAAGCCCCCTAACTCAAAAGTAAGTAGAGTTTCCTGTAAATGATCTGCACTGCTCTGAGGGTATTTCTGTAGGTTCTCTTGGTCCCCCTTCCTCCCACCCCTTCCACAGTAACCTAAAAGCCAAATTCTAGCCTAATCAGGGAACCTAGAGCCACAGATGTGTCACCTTTCCTCTAAAAGCCAAGCAATGAAATACATATTCTTCACACTTTTTCTGTAATACGGTTCTCGTGAAGAGATTTCACTAAAAAATTCAAGTTTTACCGAAACAGTTTACCCACCGGAACAGTTTACTTGTCTCTTTTCAACCCACTCATACCCCTTACAAAGTTGGTAATGCCCAAGGCCTTTAAGGAGAATTTAACTATTTTTGCCATAGCATGGATCTTATCTTATTTTCTTCCTCCTTAGCACTGAATCCATGCGCAAAGAGGGAGGGATAAAACAAATTTATGAAGCCATTGAGAAACTCTCCAGCCGCCACACCTACCACATCAGCATGTATGACCCAAAGGGAGGAGAAGACAACAAGCGCCGTCTGACAGGTCGTCATGAAACAGCCAGCATCCATAGCTTTTCACATGGTGTTGCCAATCGTGGTGCCAGTGTGCGAATTCCACGCCAGTGCGCAGAAGATGGTAGTGGATACCTTGAGGATAGGAGACCAGCCTCTAACTGTGATCCATACAGAGTTACTGAGGCCATAGTCAGAACAACAATCATGGGAGAGACAGATTAAGTTATTTAATGTAAATGGCTGGCCCAAGTCTTGTAAACTTTTTGGGAACTTTAGTACGAGTTAACATATTTAATCACAAACATGTTTAATGCATACTAATTTCATATGTAATTCCCCAGGATTCTTTTGTTTTCAAGTCACATCAAAATCATTTTGCTTGTTGCCTTACAGTAGTTATTCCATTTTTCCTCAAGGCTGAGCTCCAGGAAAGATTGTAGAAAGCCTGAAAAACTGGGGGAGGGGTGAACTTCCATAATTATAAAAGTGATGGGGATGCTTGTTGTCTCACTTAAGGGTGTAATTTGCAGATTTTGGTCTCACTGAGGACACTTGGCGTGGAAAGTCACTATCTGCTCATTCAGGTATCGCTTAAGGCTGTGCATAAGGAAATTTACAAAAAATGCTGTGATGTCTGTTTGAGCCCCTCCCCGGGCTTAAAAACCAGGCTTCTCAGTGTAAGCATTTAAAGTGAAATGTAAGACCCAATGACAAAAGCATGTATTGAGGGCCACTGGGTACCAGCAGAGCACGTGCCTCTGTATGCTTTGAGTTTTATGAGCTGACTGCGCCATGATGTTCCTAATGATATTTTGGGTTGATAACCGTGGGCAACTTGACGGATTGTGATTTGTGGACTTGTTGCTGTTGGTAAACGAAAACTATTTAAGGAATGCTACTAGGGTTATTTCCCAGGCATGGTAGTGGAAATAGTTTACTATAGCTTTCTACTTGGAATCTTTTAAAGCAGCAACTTTTAATTTATTACATGAATGCATTATCTATTTACTAATGACAGTTGTAATTATAAATAACATTTGTAGTATATCTTACACGAATACTAGAGTTCCATTTCTTGTAGAAATTTATTCGGTTTTTGTTTTCCTTTGTATGTAAAGAAATAGTTAAGAGATTTATCGCTGTATTAAGAATAGTTTAGCTTTATTAAAATGGTATTTAAATTAGTTGATGAGTGACTGATGTTCGTTTGATTACATTGTAGCTTTGATATTGATTCGCTATAATCTTTCTCAGAGCGTCTTACCTCTCTCTCCCCCTCTGCCCCTGAAACACCCTCCATCACAAACAAAACAAACCAACAACGCATACATTTTATTTTTTATGACATAGTGCTGCTCGTGGATAATAACGAGCTCCTCTGAGCTTTTAAGTGTCACAACATTATTATTATTATTAATATCATTATTATTATTATTATTACTACTGTCAATTCACACGGTTTTCTTAGTCTTTAAACTACTTCATTTCCTGACGTGACATTCTGTCCGGTAAGGTGTCTGCCATCTTTCTTATGTATTTCTATCTGTTCCCAGCAAACAAGCTTTGGGTAACAGATGCGGGCTCCTGTCGAGTCCCCCTTTGTTTGATTACAGATGGAATCTGTTGTTGTTGTTGTTATTATTATTATTATTATTGTTATCATTTTTTTAAATATCATTATTACAGACAGTCAATGCCATTAAATATGTAAAAAGAAATTGTTGATTTCATGTCAGTCCATGTCTCGGTAGCTGTAGCCTACGTACAGCTGCCCCCTCTCCTCTTAGAGGGGGTGGGGCTTTACACAGTGTAGGTAGCTGTTAGCCTCCCACATGGGCGTTTTCAGGGGAGCTTGTTTATCATCCCTCCCCTAAAAACACCTTCGTGGGAGGCCAGGTAGCTGTAGGCTTCGACTGGCTGGTCGAGACTTCCAAACATTGCCATCCTTTCCCAAAATATTACCCTCGGTGGTCACAAGGAAATCCGTTTTGCGAGTAAGCCATACTGTTAAAATAAATTCTATTTATGAGTGTATTATGACCGTTCGTGAATCTGCAAAGTGCATAATTATCTGCCCTGCTACGTTGAACGGGTTGTTATAGGAGCTCGTTATGTACACTCTTGATTCAGAAGGTACTTGTAACATATTGCTCCTTTTTTCGTTTCGGTGTGATTTTCAGTTTAACCGTCAGTTTTCACATGCCACAGTCAAGATCCCCTCTCCTCACACGCATTATAGGAGAATATTTCAAAAGGTAAGGCCACACCCAAAACAAATAAAGCTCTGTGGGTTTTTCACAAAAAATATATATATATATATATATCGCGCATCAGTGCAGGCTGCACTTGGATCGGATCGAATAAACATTGCAACATGTTCGCGTGAGAAGGCGGTCAACTATTCATGTGTCCACATTTGGCAGCACGTGGCGCTATTTGCGGTCACGTGATTCCAATATTTATACGATGTAAACAAACTTTGTACCTGCTCTGTGCCTCAAATTTAATTTTGGTTTTTGCAATACTGGTCATTGAAATTTCGGTTCTGCAAGCGATGAGCGAAATTTTGAAAACCATTTGCGACTGGGTATCAAGCTTATGGTTTCCCACATCAAAGGAAAAACTTCAAGACGCGGAGTCCAAAATTCTGAAGCGGATAAAACGACCATGGATCGGTAATTTTATTCGTGTGAGCGACGACGTTGAAATGTGGACCATTCAAGTGAATCTGACGCCGTCAAAGGAACCTCCACTTGTCCTTGTCCACGGATTCATTAGTGGTGTCTGTTGGTGGGCCCAAAACTTCACCGACCTGAGTGAAGAGAGAAGCGTCTTTGCGTTCGATTTACCAGGCTTCGGTCGAAGTTCCCGACCCGTGTTTTCAAGCGACTGCAAAGAAGCTGAGAACAAATTTGTTCAGTACATCGAAGAATGGAGAAGGGCGATGGGACTGGAAAAGATTATCCTTCTTGGGCATAGCCTAGGAGGGTATATAGTCACGGCTTATGCTTTGAAATATCCTGAGAGAATCAAGCATCTTCTTCTTTCTGACCCCTGGGGTTTCGCGATTTTACCTGGCGGAATAGTCGACCGACATCCCGATTCTGAACAGCAATATGATGTTCTTCCACGATGGGTTCACTTTTCCAATTTCCTTATAAATACCTGTAATGTGCTTTCCCCTCTTAGAGTTTTTGGACCGCTCGGACCATGGATTGCTCGCTTGGCGCAATTTGACACAAACAAACGAGAATCGGAGCTTTGGAAAGACAAGACGATGCTCGAGTACATCTACCACTGCAATGCTCAGACTCCCTCAGGGGAAGACGCATTTCGACACATGAATGTTTTCCTAATGTGGGCCAAATCACCGATGGTAAAACGAGTCTCAGAGCTTCCCGATGATATTCCAATGACAATAATGTACGGATCGTCGACATTTTTTGACCATCGCACTGCGTACGAGATCAAATGTAATCGAGAGAATTCCAAGGTAGAAGTCTTTATTGTAAAAAATGCTGGCCATGACATTCATGTTGACAATGCTAAGGAATTCAACAGGATTTTGAAGCAGACTGTAGAAGGTATTTCAGACGAAGAAGAGTGGACCACTGTTGATAACTAAAGGGTGCCCACAAGAAAAAACCCCAAGTGAATTGTGATAACTACAATCAAGGACCAATCAGTTGGGAATATAAGATTGTACAACTTGACAGCATCATTGCTTCATTTTATGCTGTTTACGTAAATCTTCAAAAGATACAGTCTTCCCTTTTGTTAAATATTCCCTTGTCCATTCATTCAATGTTGGAATACAACAGAACAATTATGTACACAAACACTTAAGTTTTGTACAATATAACAGAACAACAGTTACACACACAAAACACTTAAATTTTGTCCAACATTGACCTTGAAGGCAGCGGAAGGGTTGGGGTCCAACACTTAGGTCCCTTTTCCACACACCTCTACCTCTGTTAATTTATCAGCTGATAACAAACAGTGCCAACCCCCAAAGAAGGGATTTATGTGTTATAATGCTGATAAGAATATTAATAGGAATATTGTAACAATAATATTATCATATGGTTCTTGTAGTAGTGACTGTAAATATCTTGCAAATTTTGGGTTCAAAGGGCAGGGATATAAATATCAACAAAATAATTTACAATAATAGACTTGGTAAATAATATTATAAAAACAATAATATATTTATTCAATGTATGAAGCGTGGGGGTACTGCAGCTGTTTGTGAAAATGCCACATGCAAGCTAAAAAGACTTTGGCTGCATAGTTAACTATGTAGAATACAGAATTGTAGATAACAATAAATTATTTAGTGCCTCAAAGATTTTTAAATCTTTGAGGCCAAAAAGAAGAATAACTGTTAAAACAGTTATTCTTTTGGAGTGTTTCAGTTCAGCTATTTTTCTCTTTATCATTCAAAGTCCATTATTTGTTCTGCAGTGAGGGCCTCTCCCTTCAGATCAGCTACAAAAAAGAAAAGAACTAAAGGTGTAAGTTTTACACAATATTGACTTGTCTGAAAAACAGATGAGAGTTTAATAGAATTTATTCTTCACAAACACTTACGTAAATAATAAATAATATCAACAATGATTTTGAGGTACAGTGTAGCACATCCACCATTTTAAGTGGTTCTTTGTCTTAGTTCTGGCCATTCACAGACGAATTGGAATTAAGAAATGTTGGTTTTTGAGGTGGGGAGAGGGGTGGGGGGGAATCCAGAGTACCCAAAAAAAACACCACTCAGAGCAAAGGACAGAACCAACAAGAGACTCTTCCCACATATGGCGTTGACACCAGGATTTGAACCCAGGTCACACTGATGGGAGGCAAATGCTCTTGCTACTACATCATACATTCCTCCCCCAATACTTTTATCAGCTATAATATAAAAAGCAGCCTAGACTAAGGCTATGTGTGTATACTGTACCTTGTGTGAAAAGAAAACAGCTACCATAAAATTCTGAAAATAAGCGCCGGGGCTCATATTTTTCAAAGGCCCTTTTTGAGGGGCTTATTTTTGGAGGGGCTTATCTACAGAGGGAAATTTGTGTCTCAAAATCGATTGGGCTAGCCTTATAATTGGAAGTAAAGTTAGTGTTTTGCTTTGATTTACTTTGCATTTGAGGGCAATTTTCCAATTACAAGCCCCTGAGAGATGATTTATTGGAGGGTTTTTTACATTACCGGCTTGGGGGGCTTATATTTGGAGGGGCTTATACATGGGGAGGCTTATTTTCGGAGTTTCACAGTATTTTCAGTTTAAGAAGAACCCTTGCCACACAGCCTAGAATGTCTTTGGCTCACATTAAAAATTATTTAATTTATAATATTAGTTAATTAGTTTAAGAAAATAAAATCAAATTAAATAGCCTCAATCAACCACTCACCTGCCTCTGTTATGGTATGCGAGTCTCCAACCTGGCAATCTTTAAGACTCGCATTGTCTTTGATGTATGCGTTTGTGCATATAATGCTCCCTTGGATGTTGCATCTAGCAAGGCCAAACCATAATAATAACAGAATGTTAAGGTCAAGCCTGGTCAAGCATACCCCACAAGAATTGATTTTTTAATGAATTTAATTGTATTCAAAAGTTAAATCCATTGGTACTTGGTAATCGTAGATTTCAGATTCATCTCTGCATTCCTGCATGCCTATTGTCATTGAGAAGTGAATTCCCACATGAAGAAGTTATAAAATTTCTGCCAGCTCAGTTTTCATAAATTTGATATAAAATAATACTTTCAAAGCATTTTATCCATTCAAAGATTTTTCAATCCAACCAAAAACTGAGAAGTTGTAGCTAAAAATTCACTGCTCATTACGCATGCAGAAATGCAGATTTGAATTTGGAATACTGGTTGTGGCACAACAGTAACAGATTCATTTTTTCAAATAATGGATTCATTAATGGAATCTAGGGGCGGTACGCTTTACCTGGTGTGACTGTAAGTGTAAAAAAAAAAAACATTCATCACCAATAATATAATTCAAGCCACTTCACTGTTTTAAAAGGATCCACTGTGCACTGGCAGAAAAAGAAAGAGCAACACTTAGTTGGGGCGGGTGAAAATTATACGATGACAAAAACTGACAGCACTTTTAAAGTGAATTCTTCTGCCCTACCTGACTGTCCCTGAGTCTTCGAAGATCAGAAGAAAGGGATGGTTGGCATTGTTTGTAATAATAATATTATTATTGACTTACCCGTCTCTGATGGTTACATGATCCATGATTACAGAGTTACTGATCTTGACTTTCTCTCCAATGGTGGTGTGTTTACCGATCACAGATTTCTTTATTGAAACTTTCTCTCCCACTGAAACGCTGTCATCCAACATACAATCATTCCCCACCTGAAAAATAGAAAAAGAAATCTTCATTTAGACTCTAAGATCCAGAGGTGGAGTAGTGAAGCGATTTTGCAGTTTGATGTACTACCAGCCTTTAAAGTTTGATCAAACTAAAATTATTATGAAACGGAGTTTTAAAGCAAAATATTTATTATATTAAGTGGTAGAAGGAAGGAAATATGTCTTGAGGTTGGAAGGAGGGGAAGCAGCAGTGAGAACCAACAACCACTGGGTTAATCAATATTACTGAGTCATTCTTCTTAGCACATACACTGTACATGTAGCAAAACCTGTCATATATGATTCAATGCACCATATAATTAAATGATTTCCTACCTGTGATTTAGGGTTTATTGATGCCAATGGGTGAATCAATGGGATTTCCTTTGCTGTCAGAGACGGCAAAAGTTTTGATATCTATAGTAAGAAAATAGAAATATCTTTAAATTCAATATTGAAACACCTGCAACCTACCATTCATTTAACTCTTTCCACACAACATATAACATACAACTACATTGTGGCACCATGAGCGACTTCCACTCACTCTCCAAGGATAAGTTATAATCTAATCTGCCAATAATTATTTCTAAGTGAAGTGCACAGAAAGAAAAAAAAATACCAGTCTGTTTGCCTCCATATACAGTGGTACAGTATTTGTTCTAAGACATGTTCCACTTTCCATGAGAAATGCATGACATCTGATGGTGTTGCTATGGTCGATATCTGTTAGTGTACCACTCCAGGAGGATAACTCTCTGGTATATGACGTAATGTCACCCTCTCTTACATAGTCATAAATATCTGGTAAGAAAGCAAAGATTAACAAGCTTTATCAGGGTTCTCCAAAAATTTTAAGGTATAAGGGGAAAAATCAAGTAGCTGATAAGAGAAGATTGAAAGGTTTTTTTTCATGTGGCACAGCCGTATGTGGAAGGGGGTATAAGAAAGGGGATGTCCCTTTTTCTTAAGAAAGTTAAATTTTGAGGGGACCGAAAGCACATTTCAGTGTATTTTGAAAGACCAGGAGAGAAGTTCAGCCATGAGGATAGCTGAGAAATACACATCCTTGGAGACCCAGGGGCAGTTAGTAGGGTCGATAAAATGTTTGTGGTGAAAGTTTACTGTAAGATTTATCAACCTGACTAACTGCCCCCGAAGGGTGTTTACCTATTTTACTATTGCCTGACTCTTGATTGAGACACTTCTTTTCTGCAGTTCCAGTGACTTCTCTGTCCACATTTTTGTGTTCTTGAAACTGTTTATTCACCAGATAAGGAATGAGTTCCCCCTTTATTGAGCTGATTGCCCTGAAATTAAAACATTGTTCAATCCATAAAGTTTTTCACAAAGAAATCTTACAAAGTTGAGTTAATTTTCTGACATGTACACCTTAGGAAAACTCTTACTTGTTTTCTGCCAGGTAATCCACCACCCATTTCTTGATTATGTATAAATGTGCATCCATTAGATTCTTTACAATGTTGATACAAGGATATCTATAAAAGTGGATCAATATTTTTGTTTGTATAGGTAATAGCATGATTTGTGGTGATATTTGACATAAATACCACAAGTGATATTTCAAAATAATTGTTATACATAATTTCACGAGCTGTTAGGCGAGTGAAATTTGAGACAATTTTGAAATATCACAAGTGGTATTTACGCCAAATATCACGTACAAATAATGCTATTATTTGTTATACTACCCACAAAAGGTTTTTTTCACATGTAGGTATTTCAAATTAAGCTGAAATACCACTGCTCTAAGCCAATCAAATTACAGAAATTTCTCATGTAGCAGTATAAGCAAAGTAATACCACTGCCACAACGGCTACAAAAGTTAGTTCTATCACAATATCAATGTCCTCAGCAATACAGAAACATCCCCATAAACTAGTGGCCAATTCTACATACACAGCGGAAATGGCTGTAGTGTAGTAAAAGTGCCGGTCATTAATTTGCAGAGTTCTATTTTAAACATAGATTATCTATGGGTCTCCCTGATATATGTATGTGATTTGTATGGCACAAATTTCCAAATCTCCTGTATGAGTCTCCAATTCTCCTGGATATAACTGAAGTTTTAGATTTTTGGTGTTTTAGTTTGGAATTAAGCTCATTTTCCCAAAGATTCAAAACTGTTTTCAATAATAGTCAGTTTAATTTCTGAGGCATTTTTCACGTGGGTCAATTTAGTTACACGTTGTCCAATGACTGACTGTTGACTACAGCTGTGTATAGAAAGATGAAGCCAAGAATATCTGTGTGAGCGATAGAGGTTCAGGTACCATAACGGAAACTGTACCTTTTAAGAAGAGGTTTTCTTATTACTAACGCTTCATCTAGATCAGCTTCAGGTTTGAAAAACAACAGCTTGTTCTCTCTTGAGTCAATTCCGATGTAATCAAGCTGGCCTGTTCAAATAAAGAAACAACAAATGATTTTATATATTACCAATCAATTCTTAGTTGATCAGTGAGCACTCTTTTTTTATGAGGTATTTCATTTTACAAGGACAAATTTGATGCTGTCATCACTCCTAGGGCTTCTAATAGAGAGTTAATATAATTTTACTATAATATTAGTATTTCACCTCTGCAGCAAAACACGTATTTAGCAACAAGTATATACCTGAAGTGTCAGTTTTCTTTTTTGCTTTGGGATTATTAGCAGCTTCTCTGTCTGCACTTGTCTGTGGCACAGGAGCCAGAAAAGCAGTAAGGGTGGAGTCATGGCTGCGATGAATATCAGCAAGATGATGAAGAGCAACATCTGTGATAAGATCACAACTCACAACAAAAACATCTTTCTGCAAAAATTTTGACAATAAAAAGAGTATTTGAATGAGTCATATGATTATGTAGTATACTAGTATTTGCCATTAATGAATTTATTTATATTTAAAAGTTGAAACCATTGGTAGTTGCTAGATTCCAGATTTATGTCTGCATTCCTTCATGTGTCATGAGCAGAGAATTCACCCACAAGTTAGTTATGACAAATTTATACCAGCTCTACTTTCTTGAATTTGATGTAAATGTCTTCAAAGAAATTTTATCCATCCAAACAGTTTTCAATCTGATTGAATACAGAGAGGTTAATAATTTCACTGCTCATTATGCATATAAGAATGCAGATGTTTAATTTGATTCTGGCTGCGGCAATGACCAACAGATTCATGTTTCAAATAACCAATTCATTAACAGAATCTATGGGGGTATGTTTGATATGGCGCGACTGCAAATCTCACTGAATTTACATCATTGTAAGGCGAATGCATTGTTTTATTATGCAGCTGCGTGGGGAAAATTGATCTTAACAAAATCGAACTGCGATCCAGTGCAACTGTTTAATTCATTGAAGCAGTGATAAAGATGCTACATGTTTTCGCAGCTTTGCAACAAAATTTTATCCTCTAGCCACTCCAAGAAAATTGCTTACTACACAGGCTAGTGAACTGAGGGATTACTTGACAAAGTCCACCATGTAAGACACTATTTCTTTACACTTGCCACACAGAAATCAAGGCACATACCTCTATTTTGTCTTTAATGTGCCTAAGAGCATCAGCAGTACCGTGGAAGTCTTCATCATCAGGAATGGTAACAAAGTCCAACTTCAGTTTTGGATTACAGAGGCTTGTTAAAATTTGATGGAATTGTGTGAGTGCTGAATCGAGCACTATAATAATGATCTCTGGCAAAAAAATCAACACATGGACATGTTATTGTTGTTAACTGTTATCAGTTCCCAGTTAAAGGCCATGTAAGCAGCCAAACCTTAATGAGGGTCCCCAAAATGTGGAATAAAATTCCCTGCCAGCAAGACCAATCAGAAGCACCATCCAAATCTGGGTAGTGCATCACCAGTACGGAATTTCTTTGCTTACTCCTCAGACATTATTTTGCAGGGAAACCAGTGATGGCGTTGCAAATCAGCAACTTTAATTTTTTTTTCTTTAGACAAAGTCACTAATGCAAAAATTGACAGCACTTTTCAGTGTCGCCAGTGACTCATCTACCAGTGGTTGCATCCCAAAATAGACCCTACCCTTCCTGGGTACCAATGACAGTCTATGCATGATGTACACATATGAGAATGAGAAATGCATAGGGAGAGGGTTATGTAGCCTGTTTCAGGCATTCAGATGGTGGGAATCGAGTTAATTTGTACACGGCAAACGCAAAAAAGACACAAGGAAAAAACTGATGGGGTGGAAGCAACGGAATTGTCAATTTTTTCCCTGCACCCAGCTAATAATTTTTCCTTTGTTTTAGGTTATGGTGATGTATCATAATGAGGCTGTCTGTCTGTCTTACTTCATGACCCCATAAGCTGCAATGCTTTTAATATCATCGTGCTAAAATAAAGGCTGTCTGTCTGATAACGAAACAAAGTAAAGTTAATAAATTTAACCCCTCCCCCCCCCCAAAAAAAAGATTGAACCACAACATTTATGTACTCTGGGAATCTCTGGGTAAGGTAAGATTTCCAACATATTTTTAAGCATTTTGTCACCAGGAATTCAGTGTACATAGGAAAGCTTTAACAAAAAATTTATGTTCCTTACCCTCAAAGCCTGCTTTATCCAGCAAATTGATGGGATACCATATCACTGGTAAATTTCCCACAGGCAAGAGAGCTTTGGGAATTTTCTCAGTCAAAGGAAACATTCGCGAGCCTGTGCCAGCCGCCATGATTACCGCTTGAAATTCGGCCATTTTAGAAGTTTAGTTTAACGTAATATCTGCAACGATGTAGAACGGGAATAAGCGATACATTCAGTGGATATCTCCAAAAATGAATGAGGGTTTACTTGTCCGCCATTTTCTTTTTCATTTTGCCTGGCTGCATAGCGCGAACTGAAGCTATCAGTCTCAATCCCTCTCGGCTAAAGAGTTCATGCACGCGCGGACAGTCGCACGCGCGCTCATGGACTCGCGCTGGCTGTCGGGGCACCATATCCGACTGCTAGGACAAGGCTTCACATCGACTGTTAGCCTGCGAAAACATCTGTTCCTCCTCGATCTTCCCTGCTGGGGACGTTCCTTTGCCCGAAACGTCCCCAGCGACGAAGAGCGAGGAGAAACGGGTGTTTTCGGAGGCTACCCGACTGCAAGCCGGCTAACTCCGATTCTCTGGGGTGATAAGCCCCGTTCATAGCCTGGTAGAGCAATCGGCGTTTCGTCTCGAATGCCTCCATTTTACTTTTTCATATTATTTGAGGAATCTTCCTGCCCATGGGCTCCTGCTTGAGGTCATGCATTTGGAAAAACACAACACAGGTCACGTGGCCGAGGTCATCCCTTCCATATTTTGTTTATGCTGTGTGACAGCAACAAGAAATTAAAAATAAGGTGGGATGACAGTCATGAGGAACAAAAAAAATAAACATGTCCTGCAGATAGTCTGTGAAGTTTTCGTTTAGTCAAAAATAGCTTTGTTGGTTGTGTTCTATAAATAACATATCACGTGACGATGAAATTTGTAAACCGCTGTGCTCTCTTCTTTGTCGCTAACAAAACAAGTTTTAGCACTTGCAATGGCAAATCAAAAACGATTTTTTCGTCCTTAGTTGTTCGTACAGCTCAAAGATAACTTTAACCGTATGAAAGAGGAAAAAAGTAAGTTCATGTAAAATCCGGAAGGGTTACTTGGGTTAATTTTTGCTGGGTATGTGCTGCTTCTATTGGGGACCCCATCTTAGTCACCTTTGGGAAAATGTAATTTTCGCGATCCCAACTTAGTAACAGTCGAGGCTGTTTATGCATCTACCTTATAAAGCATTTAAACTAGGTCATCATGAAATGAAATGACACATTGGTTAAACTTAACGAAGTGAAAATCTTTCCACCCTTCATGATCCCTACCTACCTGAATTTTCTGATCCCCCAAACCCCAAAAATGTGCGACTCCGTTCTAGTAACTCTGATGAAAATGCAACCCCATCCAGCGGCACATCCCCATACTGCCAGGGTTCTATCTAGGGCCGGTATTTGAGGGGTAGAAGCTTTCCCCCCCCCCCAAAAAAATACCAAGCTTTCCCCCCAAAATATTGTTAGTATATGAGTAACTGTATCGGAAAAATCATCCAGTCGCAACGAGGTCAGTTCACACATTGTAACATTTCTCAAAATTGTGTCTCAAAATGCACCAGATTGCGTCTCAGTGCATATTCATTGTCAAAAATTTTCCGGGGGAGTATGCCCCCGGACCCCCCTAGGAAGACTTCTCCACCAAATCAACAACAACAACCAACTCAACAACAAGTTTATTCTCCACCAAATAATAAATCCTAGATAGAACCCTGCTACCCTATTTTCTTTCGTCTTTCCCCCTGTTACCCTATTAACCCATGTAATATTGCATGCGAGTTTTGCCCGAGACCACTTGAAAGTCACCCCAGTTACTCAAATCATTTAAGATAACATTGTTGCACGTACGCCATACTATTGCAGGGCTATTGCCTCGATGAAAAGCAGCTTAAGCTATGTTCAATTAGTTTATGGGTTGTATACGGTATTCACTGCTATATCTTTCGAAGTCACAAGCAGTATCTTGCAGCGAAATCCCGGGAGCGAAATACACGTGTACATATGTACACGTGCGCTACACACGTGTCATCAATGCAATGACGTCATAACTAAACAACAAAACTACTCTCACCTGAAAAACAGCTGATGGATTGCACGCATTTGATTGGCTCTCAAACACTTCGCCCCAGTCATATAAACTCTGCAAATACAGTTAAAGTCACTTTAGCCCATTCACGGCAAGTGGAGCAGTCACGACGTCGGAAGGTCAGAGAAGTTTGTCGTCTTAGCTAGATCAGACATCATGGATCACAGCAAAGCCCCTTCCAAAAAATATATGACACTCGACCAAGGAGAAAGTGTTCAAGCCATGTATGTGTGGGTGGACGGAACTGGGGAAAATCTTCGCTGCAAGACGAAAACTCTCAACATGGAACCAATGACACCAGAAGACCTTCCAATCTGGAACTTCGACGGCTCTAGTACCTATCAGGCTGAGGGCTGTAACAGCGATGTTTATCTTCATCCAGTCGCCTTATTCCGAGATCCATTCAGGCAAGGAAAAAACAAGTTGGTTTTGTGCGAGACGTATCAATTTAACCACAAACCAACCAAAACAAACACCAGGAAAAGCTGTCTTGATGTCATGGAAACTGAACTGGTGGAGGTAAAAAGCATTAACCTTTATTTTTAACTTCAATAAAATTAGTTTCTTGCCTCGACTAACCAGAAATGTGCGAAATTTTGAACTAAAAACTTCCCGTGCTAACTTTCACGTAGCGTGGATCCACTAAACATCCGATATCAGGTAGATGTTGTTGTTGTTTTTTTTTCAGTGACACAGTACATGCAAGCTTCGACAACTGTTGGCAAGAGAACAAGGCTTTGTAGTTCACAAATCCGTAAAGCGGGCTTTGGAAAAAAAATGACAAAATGAAAATAAAATAACAACGATTTTGACATCGGTTTCATGACCTCTTTCTTTGATGTTTTTGAGTGGCTTTTGTTCGTATCAAGCCTACATTTTCATGTTTAAACCCAAGTTACTGAACAAGCTTGAAATCTGCGTACTTTTGATTTGTTTTGATAAACCAAGCTAGAATATGTGAACTTTTGCATGAAACTAATGATCTGAAAAAATAAAACAACCTAAAGAGGTATGATAACACTTAGTTCAAATGTTAAGTAGTACTTTTGATCTCAGTAGGACATTAATTTCGTGCCAAAAGTCGCAGAGTCACCACAGGTAGCCCAAGCTCGAGATATGAGCATCGGGGAGCATAGGCATTGTTGTATAACATTCGTAATATAAGGATTCGTATGGGAAAAAAAACCTATCGTTTCTGTGACCTACGAAAATGGAAGGATTTCAATAAAAAAACAGCTTCCCTTGCATAAAATGTGTGTTTCTTCGTTCCTGTGTGGTTTCGGAGCCAATTTATGCCCGTTTTATGAGTTGTACTGTAAACGGTTCCCTCTCTAGATAGCCTGCGAACAACAGACGTTTTTCCTCGCTCATCACCGCTGAGGGACGTTTCGCGTTCCTCAGCTTGCAGTCTAGTCAACGAAGGCAGAGGATAGTAAGTCTGTGGTCATAGAAAGTCAGAGGCGTAAAAAAGACCTGCAGATTTTTGAATTTCCAGTAATTCGCATTCAGAAATTGAGTTTTCCCAATTTCTGTGTCCAGTGATTTAAAGTTTTTATCACTGTTTTGAACTTTTCCATTTGTCTCAGAACGCCCATCCTTGGTTTGGTATTGAACAAGAATACACTCTGCTTGACAAAGATGGTCATCCTCTTGGCTGGCCAAAGGGTGGGTTCCCTGGGCCACAGGGACCCTACTACTGTGCTGTTGGCACTGGAAATGTGTTTGGACGTGACGTGGTTGAAGCTCACTATCGTGCTTGCCTGTATGCGGGTGTCAAAATTGCAGGAACAAATGCTGAAGTTATGCCGGCTCAGGTGAGAACTGAGTAACATTCACTGTAATAATTTCCAATCGAGAACAGCCGACATTTTCGAGACGCCGGCCAGTACTGGTTTCCTCACCAAAAGACGTCTGTGGAACGAGCGCAGAAATTTCATACTGATGACGTGTTACTACCCAGATCTGGATAGTGCTTCCGATTGGTTGAAGCAAATTTCCCACTGCGCGATCAAGATTTGGGTAGTGACACGTCATCAGTATCTAATCCTCAGATGTTATTTACGAGGAAATCAGTGATGGTGTCGCCAAGTGTCAGCTGTTTTCTCAGGTTAGTGATGAGACATATCAGAGATACAATCCAACTAGCGTGTTTCTCGAGGACCTGTAAAGAGAATGTGTATGTTGATCACGGTCGGTCTTTTTTGTTTCAGTGGGAATACCAAGTTGGTCCGTGTGAAGGTATTGATATGGGAGACCACTTGTGGATATCAAGGTTTATATTGCATCGTGTTGCTGAAGACTTTGGAATCAAAGTTACTTTTGACCCCAAACCTATCCCAGGGGACTGGAATGGCGCTGGCGCCCACACAAACTACAGGTAAATAAGAAGTGAGGTCACGTATGCATACTTGAAAAGCCCTTGCCTTGTGAGGTTACACTACAGTTATAGGAGCAGGGTATTCGGGTTTTCAGTTTACAATTATAGATGACATTTTTAGTTTTCTGTTCTTGAAATTTACGGCTTGGTTTAATGTCCGTGAAGACTGTGGTTTGTTCGGCACTTTATGAAGTAGAAAGAAAATGAATTCAAGGCAACGAAGAGCTTGCCTTCGAAACAGTCTTTTAATAAACCCCTTCACGGTGATTAGTTCATATTTTTAATTATCACTTAGAGGGGCCTGTTCCGTTTCCAGGCGTTTCGTATTGTTTGGGGTCGACAGGCGGGGCGGCAACAAGCAAGAAAACCTGGGGGAAGAAATTGCAAAAGGGAGGCAAATCAGAAACTAACAATAAACTACTTTAACGACATCATTTGCAGCACACAGGCAATGCGAGAAGAAGGAGGAATGAAGCACATATACGATGCTATTGAAAAGCTGTCCAACAAACACGACTACCACATCAGAATGTATGATCCTAACGAGGGGGAAGACAACAAACGACGCCTTACTGGCCACCACGAGACCTCGTCGATTGATAACTTTTCTCATGGGGTAGCCAACCGAGGGGCGAGTGTGCGGATTCCTAGGCAATGTGCTGAAGATGGCAAGGGGTACCTAGAGGATAGACGTCCATCGTCCAACTGCGATCCTTACCGTGTTACTGAAGCCATTGTGAGGACGACCTTACTGGGAAATTAACTCACTATGGCAGACATTATTTTACACAACGTCTGAGAACTGGAGACAGCCGACATTTCGAGACGCTACCACTGGTTTCTCCGCGAAATGAGGTCTGAGGAAAGAGGGCAGAAATTCCATACTGATGACGCGTCACTACCCAAGTCTTAGCCTCCTCCGCAGGCGTTTTGAGGGGAGCTCGTATTTCTTCCTTCCCGACAAGGGAGAGAAGAAATAGGGGCTCTCCTAAAAACGCCTGCTGGGGAGGCTACCCGAGTCTTGGCAGTGCTTCTGATTGGTGCTACTAAGTAAATTTGGATTAACCAATAATCAGAAGCACTACTCAGATCTGGGCAGTGACATCACATGAATATGGAAATTCTGCGCTCGTAACTCAGGCGTCATTTCGGGAAGAAACTACAGTGGCAGAGTTGCGACTTAATGTCGGCCTTTATCTCAGACTATTTTACACTTGGAAAGACTGAGTAGTATGTGTCGAAGAGCTTTCACTGGAATGTTCCCAGCCGTAGTACTCCAATATACTCTCTCCATGGACTCGTGACTTAGAATCGCTCTGCTGCTCTTGTCTTAATCTAGGTACATCAGTGGATGAATAGGTTCAAGACTCAGGGCGATTCATTGAATAAAAGCCCCTGTAATGGCATCTATCAACTGATCAATCTCAGTAGGTCATTAAAAGCAAAAAAAATAAAACGCATTTACTGCACGTTTCTAGCTTGTGGCAGCTGTTTTCGTCTTTTATTTGTTGTAATAAGGGCTGCATTCCCGTTTTCAAGAAGAAGAAGAAGAAGAATGAACCTCCAATAGTCGTCACATTTGTTGAAACGATTGTCACGTTACACTCTTCACAATATAGCATGCTATTGAAAAAATACCTATCTGCAAAAAACGCGACTCCCACGATCGGGGAAGGACTGGAAAAGTCAGCAGGACACTCGGTCTCTCTTTGTGATGTAAATCCGGATAAACCAGTGTTAAATTTTAAACTAGTTTAAGCTTGAGTTGTGACGCCCTCGGTGATCAAAGCAGGTAGGCAAGCTCAGTGCCTTTGAACTCTAACGTTTCGATGGGGAAAGGTGCCGCCTCGCGCGCCCGGTGAACCCAGCTCAACTTTTAAGGTGATGTTACCCGAGACGATTCGCAACGACGATTTTTAGCGCAACACAGCGCTACAATCTTGGAACAATGTTGTAACAATCCGAAATAATGTCGCAACAATGTTGCAACGCTGTGTTGCGCTAAACATCGCCTTTACGTTTACGATTCATACGTTGCCTATTGTTGCCTCTGCTTTATCTGCGCGTCCAAATTAAAATTCACGTCTGTAAGGCACGCAATGGTGGGAATCAACCCTAAAAGAATGCAAATTTCGACGGCACAACCCCACAGCACCCCCCTGGCCCTACACACTCGGCCTCTAAGATCAATTCTAAGAGGTACCAAAATAATCAGTTGAGTACCGTAAATCCTCTATTAAGCCCCCCCTCTCTAATGAGCCCCCCTTTTTTTAGAGGAGGAAAGTTAATAAGCCCCCCCGTCTCTATTAAGCCCCCCCTCCCCCTCTCCCAATCCTTATTCTTCACAAAAAAATTAACGATTAACGAGGAGTTATCAGTTATGGTTTATTGATAAAAATTGCCGAAGAACATGAGGCCGAAAGCACATTTTTGAAAATAAGAATTTTGTTTTTGTTACTTTTAGGCTCCCACAAGTGAATTAAATACTTTTGACAGTGACTTTAATTGTACAACGCGTAAGTCTACTCTGTCTCATACCACGGTATTTTTGCTACAGGTGATGCGTTTCGCTGAATTAAATAAGACCCCCCTCTCTTTTAAGCCCCCCTCAAAAGTGCTTGGAAAAAAAAAATAAGCCCCCGGGGGGCTTAATAGAGGATTTACGGTAGTACCGTTGCCCTACGCTTCTCTCTATATTTTTATCGGAGTCCCCCCCCTAACCCTAACCCTCTCTCTATATTTTTATCGGATTCCCCCCCCCGCTCCCCCAACAACACAACAACAACAACAACAACAAGTTTATTCAGTATTACCATTTTGTACAGGTGTTACCGATTAAAATAACAATAATAAACAGCTAAGTTTAAGGAAATACAGGTATGATGGAATAGTAGAATTAACTATGTTTCTTTCGTCTTTCAAATGCTTGAAAGATGAAATTAGCAGCTAGCCTGCTGATATGTGAATCAGTATTGTTAAAAAGAAAACAGACTTTATCATGGATATTGTAGTGTGTAAATAATGTATTTCGGTCGTTGATTTTAATAAAAAGAGTCTTTCTCAAATCATTGTATTGATCACAGTGAAATAATATGTGCAATTCATTTTCAACCGAATTTTGGCTGCAATGATCACAGATTCTAAGGTCTTCAGGAGTTTTGGGGATTGAAAATCTTCCAGTTTCTATTTTTAAATTATGATTTCCTATCCTAAATTTGGAAGCTACACGCCTATGTTCAGGATTCCGGATATGATTGATGAATTTAGAGTGATTTGTTTCATTTTTAAAGATGGAGTAGAATTTTCGTTTTTTATTTGTTCTGATCAACCGCTCCCGCTCCCGCTCTCCGCTCTCCCAACAACACTAGGGGCTAGGGCCTTGGGGAGGCAGTAGCCCATGAGTTCAGTGGCTCAAAATAACAGAGAAAATTATCCGAGGAAATGCTTTTGAACAAAAGAAAATGAAACCCGGGTTAATATTAACCCTAGGTTAAGCGCTAATCAGCCTTCCAACAACGGCGCAGTCTTCCTCCGTTTTCGTACGCTCTGGGTCGCGGTAGGGACATTCTAACAGCCTAGGGCCCTCCCGGCAAGTGTCTCAAAAATCAACATGGCGTTCCTTCGAGGAAGCTCCATCTACTGTATAAAGAAAGAAGAGATTGATATATCTAGACGAATAACTTTCAGCAGTATATGCATCTCTACAGCAACGATATCTTCTTTCGGAGCTATTGTTCAGCTTGTCAACTGGTCGAAAAGAATGCGCCTTTCAGATCGGGAGTCGAGAAGAGTCCCTTCTCCTACGCCGCATATCGTGTTTTCGCTTGCATTGGCAGATTTGTTCACATGTGTAGGTGAGATCCTTGAGTATTAATCACCGACCGTCATACGATCATTAGTGTAAAGATTTATTTTTCTTACAAGATTGCCTTGCTGACCAAAATCACCCGAAGATCAGAATTTATTTAAGTAGCATATTGCCGGCGGATACAAAGCATCTGTTTGTTGAAAAACCAAACAGATTCATAACTATGGTGTGACGATGTCAACTTTTCATTAACAGATGACAAATGGTTTTACTAAATACCGACATCTTGTTTTACGTCATACCGACATCTCGTGTAAATCAGCTGATTTGGATCAAAGAACAAAGAAATCTTACAATCCATGACCAAGAACTTATTATCGTTATCATTATCATTATTTTATTTGTTTTCCTCTCTATTCGCCTTTCTGTAATTCCCCATATCTATTCACCATGCTATAACTAACACTCAAGGAAGAAAAATTCAGACTGTACCACTGAAGTTTGAACTCAAAACCGTCTAATTTATTTATTTCCACAACACCACCCAAGGACAAGTTGCAAGTTCCCTGATCATGATTTTTCTATAGATTATATATAAAAAAATATTTTCTTTCAGTATTATAGTTATGTTAATGATAATATACCTGCAGAGTTCAAAAGATATCAAGTTTACTTGAAACGTTTCATCGAGGGTCAAAGAATAACAAAATTTGACACCATTTTGGAATAAATAAGCTGCATGAAACATTCAATTTTGTTTTCTTTCCAGGTGCTATTTCCATGTCAATATTACTGCTCACATTAATGCTTCCTTCTGAAACACCACTAAAACCATTCAGTGAGTCGTATGTTGATTTTGCTTTACCAATTGAGGTACAGTCTTGTGACAATGCTTTTTATGTTCCTTATATAGTGCTTGCAAGAAATACTTTCAATTTAAAGGGACTGGGTCTGTTTATGGATTGTCTTAATGTGCCTATATATTTTTTTGGGAGGGGGACAGTTTTGGGAGCTTTGAAAGACTTTAGTTTTTGAAGAATAAAGTGGCTTGAATGCTTTAGGGATGGGTTATAAATGTTTTGTACAGTCAATAATAATAATAATAATAATAATAATAATAATAGAAATAACAATAATTATATAATTTCTGTTATTATTGTTAAGAAGTAATTAGTTAATATATAATAATTGTTTATGTGTGACTGACTGTTAGGCCTCTCTATGGGAGATCTGAGAGGGAATGAAGATAAGAATTCCTGCCCCTCTCCCTCTTCTGCCTTTCAAATCTCCTCTTTCTTAACCCTTAAGCTAGGCAAAGTACTTAGGGTACTAGAGCGGTTTTCACTTGACTGTCGAAAGGGATTGGTTTTGGTTTTGGTTTTGGTTTTACTACGCCCTTTGGTTGGCTAGTGTATTTACTTTGGTTTTGGTTTTATGACAGTCAAGTGAAAACCGCTCTATATTTCCGTGAATAAGCGCCCAGGCGCTTACTTCAAAATAATAATTTTTTCTAAAAGGATGTTCTCTTATTCGAAGGAGGGCACTTAATTATGTTTTCCTTAAAGAGAACTAAAGAACATGGTCTAGTTTTTCCTGGGAAGTTTATGGCCTTAACCAAGAGCATGGTGGAAATGAGACAAAAATTGAAAGAATAGGTGACGCACACATACAGGAACTCTGCAAGCAAGATTTTACTGGAAGTGTCTTAACGGAAAAGAAACTATTTTCCTTTACAGATTCTGATGTAATCGAAGCCTAAAAGGTTAACTAAAGTGGCAAAAGAAGCTTGTTTTCCATCTATCCCTATTATTTATTTAAGTAAGGGGGAGGGGAGGGGGGTGCTTATTTGATATTATGGCCTCAAGGGTGGGCGCTTTTTTGGGGAGGGTGGGGTGTGCATGGACGTTTTTTCGAGGAATTACAGTATGTACAAATGTCTAGACATTCTGCCATTGCAAACCAAAAGTTAATCATCCTGAAAAGATGCTTTCAATAATTTTTCTTTCTGTCAGTTTTTATTGATGATTTTTTTACTTTCTTTCAATTCAATTTCAGTCATTCACAATGTTTTCATACATTTGTTCCTACCTGTGGACACTGTTTTACTCCATTGATATCTGCCTTCAAGTTCATAATAGTGCTACAAGGTAAAGAGCTTTTAGTTAGCAGCCATATTTTTTTCAATGTTAGCTGAAAGATTCCATATACCCAAGGAAAGCGTGATCTAAACAGCAAGTCAGTTTCTTTGTCAATTTCACACGGTCTATAGAATCGTAGTGATGATATGTTGTGTCAGATTTTCAGCCCTTGAATCAAATGCTAGAGCTTCCACGGGTGAATCTTGAAGTGAGGATGAGTAAATACTAAATGTTTTATATATTGTCACATTGGTTTGTAGATTCAACAGTGCAGCATATCATTTGATGTCATGGCCATTGGCAGCTTGGCTTGTAATATGTGTTGAGGTTGCAGTATATATGACTGATCCAGTAAAGTAAGAATAAATTATGGTATTATTTTGATGTTGGTCTAATCTCTATCACAGTGTGGATTGTGACTTAACTTAGCTAAAAAAATGTTTTGAAAGTTTAAGCTCAAGTTTCACATGCTTGAGCTGAGTTATCTGGTAGGGGTGATGAATGGTCCATTAAAATTTTTAACTGTTCACAAAATTTTACCTTTGCTCGATTTGCTCGCAAAATTTAAACGAGTGCTCGGCATGCTCGCGAATACTTGCAACGACCATTTGTCACCCCTTCTGGTCACTGGTTGTTTTGAGTTAAAGTCGTTTGGATACAAGTTTATTCAGTCAAGGTGTAAATTTTTCACGTTGGTTTAAAAAATGAAGAATACTCACCCAAATTAAATCAAAGTGTTTGTCTTGTTCATGTGCAATTGCAAAATCTTTGACTCAGTGCAATTTCACTGCTTGAATTCATATTGAAACAACTTGTGTCAAGACGACTTTACTTTGAGCTGTTGAGAATAGTTCTGTTTAAAATAGTGAAGGTATATATAAACAGGTATACGTAACAGCGCTGAAGGTTCAGAAATTGGTGTGAAAGTGAAGGACTATATTAAATTAATTTGATCACTTGATGGCTCACAAACATCTCCCATCCACCCTCAATTTTCCTTCTGCTTTTGGAGGTTTTAATTTTAATAAAGGGCGAATTCTTTTTGGTTTTCAGTTGCTCCTATGGTAACATAGCACTCCTACATTATGCAGTTTGCTTTGTTCCTCTGTTCCTAGTAATGGTGTCTCTTCCTTTCATTTACTGGAAAGCTTATCGAAAAGGTAGTTATTAAGAAACTAAAAAAAAAATAACTTAAATAAGTCTTATCAGGGCTGTCATTCAGGGCCCTGGGATTTCTCCTGACTACTACAGTGCAGGGGCGGATCCAGGATTTTTTTTTAGGAGGGAGTGCACTTGTCTCTTATCTACTTCAACGCCAATAAACCACATAGTTCTTTTTTTTTTTTTTGCAGAATACCAGTTGTATTAGAAAACCGCAGGTCAGGGGTGGGGGGGCGCGCCCCCACCCCCCTCCCTAGATCTGCCCCTGCAGTGTACCCATTGCCAGATCCAGACCTTGAGATAAGTAAGGGGGGGGGGGCAGTCTCCAAAAAAAAAATAATTTTTTGGGCCCTTTGGGCCTTAGTTAAGTCGAAAAATAAGAGGAAGTCCAGGCCCTTGCACCCCTTCCCTAAATCTGCCGCTGGTATCAGAGCATGATTCCTACTTATTTCAAAGGGAACAAAAGGAAAATGGAGGAGGGACTCCTATATGAAAGGGGCTTGTCAGAAATTTTGAATTAAACCCCTTAAGGAAACCAATCTGGGCATGGCCCAACCCATTTTGCCCCCTAAAAGAGACCATTTTAAACTTGTAAGAAAACTAAAAATGAATAGAAAATATATAATTTTTTTATATTTCTTTGCGTGGCCCTAAAAAAGGCCTTTACAGCTATATTATAATGGTGTTTTGCTCAGAACTCCCTAAGTGAGACCAAAATCTGAAATCTACACCTCTAAGCAAGACGACGAACATCCCTGCCCCTTTCATATGGGAGGCCCCCCCAGGCTTCCTCGTTGTTTAACCAGAAACTCCCTCTTATAAGCTCTCCAGTTATAGGCCTATCTACATATAGTCTCCTTCGCAGCCGTTATTAGGGTCGTCACTTGTCACGCAACGCTCCTCCCCACTAATTAGTGGGCAGGAGCGTTGCGTGACGAGTGACGACCCTAATAACGGCTGCGAAGGAGACGAATCTACATAGAGACTAAAAAAGTACATCCAATAATTATATTAGCTCCCTTCAAATTCAATTATTATTTATTGTGACATTTTGAAGCATAATAATTAAAAACACAGGCAGCATTCCTTGATGCTATATCGGGTTTTGAAGCACTTTTTTTAGTCTATTCTGTCATTATCAGCGACCTCCAATATAAGCTCTGAAGCCCAGGGCATATAAGCAGCAGTTTATACTTCACCTCATGCAGCCCTGAGTCTGACTAATTTTTACCAACTGAGTAAAAACAATGATGATAAGGATTTATATTAATTTATCACAAATCAAAATAGCTGAACTTTTGAATCATTTTGTATAATTTTGAATTTCAAGGGGTTCCTGAAAAAAAGCTCTTTAAAAGCAGAGTAGCTTCCCAAAAAAATGCCCTTTTGTTTAGGGTGTGTGTAAATTATCATTAGCTGCCGACAAGAGTCTATATTAAACTTGGGCGCTATATAATTATGCTCCTCTCTGGTATTAACGCTTTAAACCCTAACATCAAAATTCAAATTCTTGTTTGTTATCCCTATACGTCTTCAACAGAAGTAGTGGGGAGAATTTGTTGAAGTATCAATTAGGTTCATCTTGTTTGATCATGTCCTTAATTCTTATGACCACTCTGTTTTATTAAGATGTGTTATTATAAGGAGAAATTTGATGCCCATCACTCTTAGGGCTTAAAGGGTTAAGCGAGAACATATGGTAGCTTATATGTTCAGGGGCGGATCTAGGGGGAGGGTGCAGGGGGTGCACACCCCCCCTGAGATGACCTGCAGTTTTCTAATACAACTGGTATTATGCGGAAAAAAAAAACTATGTGGTTTATTGGTGTTGAAGTAGAGCAAGAGACGAGTGCACCCCCTCCCCCCTACAAAAAATCCTGGATCCGCCCCTGATGTTAATGTGTTTGTTTGTTTTCCAGTGTCTCAGAATATGAAAAGAACAGGCTATTTTACAGATACTCAGAGAAAGGCGCAAAAGTCCGTTAGGAGAAGATTTCTTTTAATAGTCTTTGTCTTTGCTTTGTGGTAAGTTTACACAGTATCTCAAATTGTGAAAATTGTAAATAAAATTGTTCACAGAGAAATTCCACTAACTTTTATAATGGAGGCTGGTGGATGTGATAAGGTCCTTTTAGGGACTTGCGATATAATCATTAATTCTTGTTTTCTTTTACAATTTATTCAAGGCAAATTCAGAAGGAGAATCTAGCTGTTGATCATGCAAACCTCAAAATTGAAAGAATGATGCCCATCTCTCATTACAGTCATGATTTTTGATTAATCATGACTGTTATATTATGTGTTATTTGCTTTTTTAATATTCTCACATGTACTGCTGCCCACCTACATGTAATGGCTAATATATGCATAGACCTGAGACTTGGCCAGATTTCCATATCTCAGATTCTGATTGGAATCAGAGAGGCAGTGGTTTTGATTTTAGTCTTCAATGGTATGACACTGAAAAACATTCATAAAGTGCCCTAAATTAAATTGTGTTGATGAGAAGCTGTTGAAATAGTATTTTTAGCTCCAGTTCTAAGCCACTACCCAGGAAAATTGGGGTTAAATTATTCACTTGTATGAAGGTCCAAATAATATTCTGTTATTATTATTATTATTTATTTCAGCTGGATGCCAAACTTTCTTGATGGATTTCACGATGTGTATGACTATTTTAAATACGATGGTAGTCTAGATCAGAACCCACAAAAGCACTATCCCCTCTGGTTAATCGAGGTAAGTAAAATATTATTCTCCGAGAGACAGGATATAACATGATATAATTAGGTATAAAGGCACAAGGCAAGCCACTGGACTCACTCAGCCAATGATTATCCTGGTAACTTCTGTTAGCATTAAACACCTAAAGGAGCATTACGACTACCCTGGTAATCGATAACAGTTTACCCCCTCCCTCAAAGTTACATATCACCAGGGGTAACTCTTCAATTCACCAGCTGGATGAAGAGAGATGAAGTGAAGGCCCTTATCTGGTGATCTGAAACATTGTGATGGCTAGGCTCAAACCCAGACCAAGAGATGCAGTCTTTCATTATCATGGAATACTTTGAGTAATATATAATAATTATGAGAGAAGTAAAATCCCCATCGTGAGGGCCCAGCATGTTTTTTTTGTTTGTCGCAACGGTGTGTTTACTAACTAATCTAGGGGTTTTGATTGGTAAGGACAGCTGTTTAGGTAGTTGTATGTCTATAGCAGAATTTGTGACTCGTTTCCTCCAGTGCTTTTAGTTGGCTTGTTCAAACTCCATTTTTGAGCAAATTGTGTTATTCTTCAAATAAGCAAAATGGTGAAATGGAAGGTCATAGGTTCAATTCCTGTTTATGCTTGTGACATGTTGACAACTTTACCATCTTTCTCCACATATCAAGCGTCTCAGATAGCCAGGCTCTCAGACAGTAGGGACATCACAAAGATAAAACAAGCAAAATGAAAATAAGATGTACATGATCTGGGAAGCCTCCTCCCTCCCCAGCTTCAGCGCATTTTTTGCATCATTTTTTACCGAATGAGTGCACATTACTATCTTGGAGCCTGGAACAGGCTGTTATTTTGCTGGACAGACTCTTAAGCTCTGATCAAAATCCATGCATTTAATGGCTGAAAGGAATTTCATTTTACTGCGCTTTTCATAAACATGCGAACTATAAAGTTCAAAAGCTGCCTTCGCGATTGCGTTTTTCGCTGCCGTCAATCATAATTACGATCACAAGCAACGAACCTTGAAACACAGAAACACACAAAACAGATCGAAATCCACCAATCACAAATCACAACCTTGACCTTTTGAACCTGCTAAAGTAAAGTTTTGTTTCCTAAGAGGTCCGTTAAGATGATTGACGGCAGCAAAAAACGCAATCGTCAGTTGGCTTTTGAACTTCAGAATTCGCATGTTTGTGAAAAGTGCAGTAAGGGCTATGTGGCTGAATGGTGGCAGTTCTGATTTTTTTTTTACTTCACAGGCATCAATCAACCCCCTGCAAGGATTCCTCAATTGTCTAGTTTATGGACAGCACAGGCCATTTACAGCTTGTTGTACCCACATATTTGGCCATTGTCGTCAGGAGAACTACCCTCCCTGCCCTCCAGATGATTTTGAAGAACGAAATAAAGCCTTAACAATTAACTCTTTGTCAGGGTCAGTTAAGATTCCAGTGAGTGAGATTTCCCGGTTACTTACTGGAGGATCTGAGAGAGGTACACCACCTCTACGCACTCCACCTGTACAAAGTCCAGGCAGACCATTTACTGCGAGGTTATTGGGAGAGTCAAGATACTCCAGTTAAGCCAGTAGTAACATAATTATCTTCTTATTACAAAAAGTGACTGGCGTGCGGTGCAGGCGTATTTTGGACGGGCGAAAGCGTATTTTGGGCGAGTGAAAGCTGCTTGGTTATGTTCGTTTCGTTGTAACCGCCATCTTTGATGTTATGATGGAGGAAGATTAGGTAGAGTAAAAATAGTAACCCGTAGGGTAGGGGTGACTCGCCCCATTTTCTCCTCTCTTTTCGATTTTCAACATGGCACTTTCGTTCGTGAGCAAAACATTCGCACGCCCGATGAAAACGCCAGCACTGCAGGCTAGTTCATAAATAACAAGAAAGCTGGCCTTCCAGATATCCGGAAAAGAAACCAGTTTTGTGTTTCACTTTAATAAAGTCAAAAGCCAAAAAGTTTGTAAGCATTTAATTTTTCTTC